ACACCTGCAATCGTCGTGTCCGCCAATCCCCCCTCCACTGCCATCTCCCCCTCCACTGCTGCTGCCGACGGTCCTCCCTCCTCCTGCAAGACCCCCGGAGAAGGTGATCGTAACCTCAGCTGTCGCACTACCCCGCCTCTGTGGAGTAGTCCGCGCTGAGGCAAAGAGGACGCCAACTCCTCCGTGTCCTCTACTGCTACGGTCGGCTCATATGGCGCGACGGGCGATGGCGGTGCAGGACTCGGAGCAGAAGGTGGCGGCACGGACGACTCCCGCCTCGTCGGAGCGGGGCTCGTCGCCCGCGCTCCTGTGCCGCCCGTGGAAGCGACCTCCCCGAACGATCCCCACAACTCCTCCTCTCCCCCCATCATCTCCCTCTCCGCCCTGTCCGCCGCCCCTCATGCAGTATGCGCCCTGGTCTCCTCCTCGGGATCCTCGTGCGTCTCGTCGATCTCACAGGGAATGCGGAGCGTGGGGTGGTCCGCTGCCTCGGGTACCGGCTCCTCGTCGGAATCATCCTCCCTGGGGTAAGGATGGAAAATGGAAGCACGTCTACCGAATACGGCCTCAGCGGCGGGTGGTGCGAAGACCCCGATGGGATCCCGGCTTATAAGCGCAACCTGACGGGCAATCTCCTCCGGCGTCATCCCCCTGCGCGTGCCCGTGCGCACTGGCTCCAACTCCAGTCCGGCCTGGCAGTCTAGCATGCCCTCGTCCCGCTGCCATGGCAGCACATAACCGCACCCAGCCCGCCGATACTCCGACAACCGCACATTCGCGGTGATTTTAACGAGTTGAACGACCTTCTCAAAGGCCAACTGGTTGCGCTTCTTCGTGTGAATGCCCTCGTGGACTGCCCAGTTCCTCTCCGCTGGAGAGGCGCAAGACCACATGTGCATCACACGAAGAGCGCAGCGCTGCAACTCAGGTGCGCCAGACCCGTACTGAGACCACCAGGACGCACACTCTATCGTCTCCCTGTCGCCGCTGCAAGCACGCCCACGAGCACGCCCCTCCCCCCCTCCCCAATCCCCAAATGTGCCCTGCTGCATGTGGAAGTCCTCAAACTGCCGACATGCAATGATGTAATCCATACCATCCTCCTCGAAACCCGTATGCGTCAAAATGTACCTCTTGGCTTGCCTCACAAGCCAACGAGGGTAATCCCTCACCTCGCCCGAAAAGTACTCAACATGTCGCCTGCGGGGGTTTTGTAAGAACCCCGCGCAGTGAGCAAGCTGCAGCATATGCTGTGTGCGAGCCTGCACACGCCTGATGATGCGGTCAGCGAAAACCCTCCCCAAAGGAGCGCATGCATCAGTGACACGCCGGACAAGATCCTGTGTCCACTCGATCATGAGGGACATGTACTGCCCCCCACGATCCATCCGCCTAAGCAGCTCCATGACGAGCTGCATGATGTGGAGTATGGTGGCCATCGTGTGCCACCAAGGCTCCCATCTGATCTGCCGGCGCACCCAATGCGCCATGTCGCACACATCGGCAGACCACGGTATAGAAGCAAACTCCCGCCCGTCATCCCCTCACATCATCGCCCGCAGAGCGTCCTGCAGGGCCAACAGTCTCTCCAACATAGAATAAACAGACGCGAACCGCGTCGCGCAAGAAAGCACAAGCCCCTTGTTGGGGCTGCGCTTCCTAAAGAAATGAAGGGCGGCCTGGTGGGTTTTGAAAAACACCACCAGAACATGAGCGCGTGTAATCGCGTCCACAAACGCGTCGCAACTTGTCCCCATGTCTGACAACAATTTGCTGCAGACATGGACGGAACACGGAAGCCAAGTGATCCTCCTGAGTGCAGGAGGGATGCCCGGCGAGGCCAATGCCCTCGCAGCCCCCACGTACGCCGATGCGGAGTCTGTGCATATCGCATTGACCCGCTGCGGGCCTCCGAAACTAAACTCGTGGAAGATGGTCACCCATCTCCGAAGGACGTGCACTGCATCGTCCGGCTCGCCCTCGCGATTGATCGTCGTGTACACGACGACCCCTCGCGAGCCGGAGACAACGAAATTTATGATCGGTCTCCCGTCTCATGATTTCCTCCCATCGGAGAGGAGGGTGGCACCAGTGATCCAAAATGGCTGCCTCACCTCCTCCAACTCCTCCGCCAGCTCCTCACGGTGGGTCTCCACCGCCAGCATACTCGCAATCTCGCTGTGGCTAAGGAGCACTGCGTGCGGGGAACTGCCAGGTTGCTCAAGAAGGACCTGCTGGTATGCCTTCCAAGCCCGGTTGCGGAAGGCATTGAAGGGGACCCCGCTGGAATAGAGTCAGCGAAGGAATGCCTTCTTGTGTCGAGCAACCCACTCGCCACCGTAGACGTCAGTGACCTTCTGCTGGCGAAGCCTCTTCCCAGCTGGGGCGGCGGCCGGATCTGTTCCACCTTCCTTCCTCTTGGAAGAACCCTCCCCTACAGGTCCCTTGGCTGCTCACCTCAAAAAGTCCTCCATCCTCTCCCCAGTGCCTGGATAAACCTCAGGCACGTCCTCGTGTCCCGGGACTCCCTGCTTGCCCGGGACACGCGCCTCGCGATCGACGATGATCGCGCCCTCCTCCGTGTCTCCACCTCCACCATCTCCCCCGACCCCTCCTGACGCTCCCTCCACGGGCTGCCGCCCCGCCTCTCCTCCCCTCACGCCACCCGTGCCAGGCACATCGAGTCCGCGCTCCACAGCGTACCTGGCAACCCTCTCCATTTGATCGCTCTCGAACTTCTGTTGACTCCGTCGCGCGATCTCATACAAAGTCTCGTCGCTGACGTCCTTGCAGTAGTTCGTCTATGTGAAATGCCTCGTCGCCTGGAATTGGCTCCCCTGAAATACTTTGTTGCAAAAAGTGCAATGCAGCATCATGACCCCCTTGTTGTCGACCTTCTGGTCGACAACCAGGTAACGGTACACAGGGGAGAGGCCCCTGAATGTGTCCTGCACATGGTCAAGGGCAGGCTCATGCTGATGCCGCTGTGACCTCCCCATGTCGGCCGCCCTCGCCGCCTCGCGAGTCAACAATCGTGT